TAAACGTCATCTACTTGTGCCGTAATATAACGCGGGGAGCCTAGCCACGGCCTCACAAACAGATACAGAAGCAGCTAGCTTCTTGGCAGAAAAATTACAATCAGTTTTCTTAGATGATGTTTAGGTAAACGAACGCCAGACCACCCAACCGGGTTTGTAAAGCTGCTGTTCACTCTTGAGCTGATTCGTTACATCTCCAAACCTCTGGTCATATCACCTCTAATGGTCGAAAGTATCCAGACGGAAATTATTGCCGGAATGCTTTACGTTTAATGATTGTCCCACGGCGCACCCGCCTGGTACACACTGTTGGTTCCCATTGCCAATAAATCCGTTTATCCAGTACGCGGTTACCGGAGAAAGTAGGCGTCTGCGTTTCCAGCAGTTTGACCGGAATTTCAGTAGCAACACAGAAAAATAAACAAAAGACGAGTGCCATCTAAAACGCTGCGAAAAAGGCCACATCCACAAGATATACCCCAATATTGGCAGCTGCGCAGCGTCAGTGAAAAGTACACTATGAGATAGCTCCATCCATGTTTGTGATCCTAAATCTAGACGGTGTGCGCAGCATTACATAGTTTTACAGGTGGTGAGCAATGCCAGATGCCCAAATCATACACTTCCTCCTGTTTGTGAGCGGAGTGCGATCTAATAAAAAGTTGTCTTGGGCATCGGTAAAAACCGGTGGACTGTACATCATGGGGACACGTCCAAAGATGATTGAGACAACTGGTGAACCGCATGGTGTGGGGGACAACGCTTGCAGGGTGAGATGAACGTGGTGCGAAGAGGAGAAAACCTCAATCGCAAGAAAAGAAGTGAAAAGATTTTCAATGACAATGGACATATGGGCAGTTGTACGGAGAAGGAGACCAGTCGGCGTGTTTAAAACAGGGGCAGTGAAAGACAGGTTTGGGTGTAATTACAACGGATGTGAAGTCAGCGAATAGTGATAAAAAACAATGAAAATAGAAGGCTAGTAAGTCAATGAAATGCTCCAATAGGGATAGGTGAATGTGTGAAAATGGTGTCCAGATCTTTGTCACACATGAGGTATGTGTGAACACAACTAGCGTGGTATAAATCGATGGACAGATAGGGAGTTACAAATAGTTCAGGTGTTATGTGTTTTCGGTGCCTATGTACACGCTTGTGATAAATGGGTCATCTGGATTAAGACAGAGATCCTCTAGAGGACCTATGGAATCTGTCATTACGGTCGGAGGTAAATCTTTCCACACAGCAGTAATATCTTTGTTGAGACGATCGGGGGAGGAAGGAAGCGGGCATTCAGACGAGCGTGCTGGATCGCACCTGTGCGGAGGGATGGAGTCTTCTGACTCCATCACAGATGCGTCGCACAGATACGAGTCTGTCTGTACCCCAATAAGGTTCTGTCGTGACATGCTGGTGGGCTTCAAATTGATGCTCTTCAAGTTGACATCATAGCAAACGTCTTCCTGGGGTGACATGGGGCCATTGGACTGAAGACTTTTGGTGGCTAGCAGCCCCTCATATTTGCACTCCATCTGAATCTGATGGTGTCGACATTCGGCTAATTGTGCGGTGAGCTCCATCTCCCTACTCCGAAACATAACGCCATCAGTTCTGCGCTGCAACATAGGAATAGAAGTGGACAAGAACATATTGCGTGATTGGTCAATGAAGGAAACCACTAAAGCTAGCAAACAACTGGTGCAGCGTGATCTATTAGATCAGTTAAACGCGGAATACACACAGAATAGGTAGGATAAATAGAATTTAAGCGTTTCCATTACTATTTAGCGCAGCATATCAACCAGTGTGGAATCACAGGGGTACTATTCAAGACTGGATAACCAAACGAGCACACAGATAGATGCGGATCAAGAATTAAGGCTGCGCAACTGCAAAAGGTGCCACTTGCCCATGCAATAGCTTGATGTGAGTTCCAAACTGATGGAATAAATGCCTCGAAAAATGAAGACTGTGGAATCATCTCTAAAACTCACTCTGCTTTAGTACAGAACAAGAAACAGATCTGCCAAAGCAGTGGTGAAATGAACGTACTTGCATACGGTTATTAAGCGTCACAACTGTCGGCTGAAAACTACTCCCGAAAATTGTGACAAGCAGAGCAGCGCCACTGGACTATCACCAACGTTTGCTTGATCTCGGTACTAAAACTATCGCACGATAAATGGAGCCGAGGAGACAAAGGCCTACACACGAACGTGAAGAAGTCAAATCAGCAGTTGTTGGGAAACTGCGATGATTATAACAAAGCCTGGCTAGCCACAATGTCGATAGCGATGATACGACTGCGAATGTCATTCAGATTTCCAAAGTTGCCAACTTGTGACTTACATCGTTGACATCACAGTCAACCTATTTCCATAAGTACAACTTCGCTGACACAACAGCTAGAGGAGAGTCAGGTCAGTAAAATCGAGATAGATTTACAGATCAGTGTATAATCGCTCGCGTAAGCGGATTGTTTGACAAGGTTGCTAACACCTACCTAATCGAAGCTAGCCGGGAATCACTCAAGAGAGTGCAAGGAGAATGTACTGCTAATCTACTCTCTCAGTTGTAGTTACAGTGCTTATGATAGGAGTTGCGAAAACTCATCTCAGAAAGTCAAGGCTTAACTGTCCCGCATCCGCTTCTCCACCAATTACAATGTAGAAATCAGAGGTGCTAGGAATGCTTTGAATTCTGAAGGTATGCCAATTCATTCTGAAAATACCGTCAAATAAATTGCGGAGCGCTGCATGCTTCGGTTAATATTTACACATAACAAATACAATAAATGGATATATTAGGCAGGTTTTCCAACTGCCAAGAAATCCCATAAGGCACTAGAAAACTTTAACTATCCTGTGAGTGCGGAGCTGTAGACGATTTTGGTGAATGCGACACTCGAGTCACAATGGAATCGTATATGCAAGGAGAACTGCATCACTTAACATGGAGGAATCACACACACACACACACACACACACACAAAACAAATTCTAAAAGATTGGATGGTCATTTTGAGGTACTCGTTGGGTGAATGGATTGCGATGCACAATCTCTATGCCAACCGCGATTCCCATTGAAGTGAATCTGGAACCGTAGCTGAAGCAGATAGAAATTGGGTGTTGCTCTTCCGAAAACACTGCGCACCATGACGCGTTTCGACTTTACTTATTCTCGTCAGGTGTAGATAGCAGGCATCGAAACCGGGACACCATTGGTGTGTTAGTTGGGATCTCTACCGCTTTAGCCACCGGGTCACGACAGGCAACGCTTGGCACAACGGTGAATGACTAATTGGAGGGTCATTTTGAAGTACGCGTTGTGTGGGTGGATTACGACACGTATTCTCAATGTTGATCGCGATTCCCATTGAAGTAAACCTTGGTCTTTCGAGCACGAAGACCGTAGCTGAAGCAGAAATTGGGTGTTGCTCGCTCGAAAACATTGCACACCACGACGTGTTTCAACCTTGCTTGATCTCATCAGGTAAACGATTAAAATACCACAGAAACCACCACAAGTGGTACAAACTAAGCATCATACGAACTACCGTGCGCAGAATCTAAACATTCTGCACTGCTGTGGAAACAAACGGGAAAGAAGGTAAATATTTGTCTAGACTACTTGCACCGAACGGACATTCATAAAGTTTCATCAGCATATGGCCAAACGGCAATAGACAAAACAATCTTAAAGTGGCTCATAAACAAACTACCATGGTGAGGAAAATTTGGTAAAAAGCATAAAGGTGAACCAGCAAGTCAAGAATGAAGATACAATGTAAAGATACAATGTCAGGCGGGAACCATCACAAAGAACACAGAAGCATCCTTTTAGTTCCCGGTTCATGTGAATAAAGGAAAGTGTGGCACTGGATTGAACGAAACGTAAAAGGTTGACTGAAACATGGTCAACCATGAAGATATTCATACAAATAAGCATCGATATCGATCCAGTATGCCAAGTGCCCAGAAGGAAAGAAATCAAGCGACGCGAGAATCGTTGCGTGAAGCCAAAGAAGCTAGCAAGAGGACAAATAGCAGAACATCCGGGTAACTCTGTTCCACAGACCAAGTGCGTATAAAATCAAAGGGATTTCGATCAGCCATTGCAAGTCGCAATTATAGCCCAACCCACCAATTGGAGACGTTTAGGTCCATCGAGGAATCAATCAGGATGGCTCACGCTTAGTAACATCTGCAACATCTATCGAGACCAGTATGTATACGGCGCTCTACCTATGATATCACCTTATCCTCTGACGATACAGCGGCAGTCTAAGTGCAAAGTTCGATGAGCACATAAACACCTGGTGGTTACGCGCTGTACGTCTAAATCCTAGTCATTTCTGGGCATATGAGAATCACATTGTTGACAACAGCCAGTCGAATTCACTATATAGAGAACAAGCTCGTTTTCAGTGGTTTATCATCAGGCTATGAAATGAGATGTAGAACGTAACGCTGATCTGGCACTTGAGGGTGTTTCCGACTCACCTTAGCTTCCATGTCGGCGCACATCTGAACCGCTTGCTTCAACTCCAAATGCAATTCCCGGCATCGTGAATCTGCAGCAGCTCGGGCCTCGACCAATTCAGTCACACGCTGGTCAAGCCTGTCTGCGCGGCGATCGGCAACTTCGCGTTGAATGGCTAACTCGTTCACCTGAAAACGGAAAAACAAGTGATAAATCCGCGGTGCCAATGTAAGTCACATAGCTTCATAACGTGATACAATGATAGTACTGAATACCAAATAAGTGTGCCCAGAAGCTTCGGTAACTCAACCCCACATCTATGTTTCGGCCCTATTCAGGTGAATTCGGCTGTTCTGTGCAAACGGATTCTCAAACGCAGTGATATTAATTCGCGCAGAAACGATTAAAGCTAAACCTTTGTCATCGCCTAAGCACCCACCCACACACCCACAAGGAAACAGTTGAAGAGAAAGATTGATTTCAATACCAGGTGAGCGTATACCGATGTCAAATCGTCGGAAGCAGTGGTGGAGAATTTCGTTACGACAGGTGCGTAATAATCAAAGCTGTCTCGCGTCTCAACAATGACTCGTAGTTCCGAAGGAGACAGACCGCAAAGCATAATGAGGAGGTGGTTGAAAACGCGATGGGTTGATCGAATGAGTAGCGGCACGATCAAAATCACACGTGTGGACAGCGAGCACCAAATGCCTTCAGTGACAATGATGGTGATACTAATTTCGTCAGGGTCACCAGACCAGGTATGCAAATTCAGTGAAAAGATTCGTGTGAGGACAGAAGAGATAAATGATTAGCCATCACAAAACTGCACTGTCTCAAGCGAAGAAGGACGTGGCGAGCCCGTATGCAAACCCGTTCGGTAAGATTGCTTATATTAAGGTAGACGTTTCGCACAAATAACAACGCTGGAGGGTTGCTCACGGTGACAAGAAATGGGAGTGCAATAGCGAATCACAGCCAGCCGCGTACACTGCTGACGCATATAACGGACAAACTAACAAATTTCAATTAATACGATGCTGTCTACAAAGTGTTCCGGCTGTGACAAAAGGATTCGCGTTGGTCATCGAGCGTTTGCTTATGGGCATATGTATTACGAGAGCTTATGCTGACAATTGGCATCGTCAGAAATCAACCAGATGGGATTGCTGTCCGAATAACTGGGTCATTGTTACTGAATGGTAGTGACAAGTAGGAACTTTGTGCGAGCTCATTCGGACGCACACAGAGCATAGGTATTATCATCAACGGGCACATGGAGGTTGGCGGCAGTTGGTGATGGATGAGTTCTGAACTGCTACAGACACAACAGTACAAAACAGCTGGAATAATGAGCTCGTTAGAGAAACTCAAGGGACGGTGCGTACTGTTTAGCAATACAAAAGCTCACACGACGAATAAGATACCTGCCTGCTCAATGGCCCAACACATGATTGAAATGGGTCATCAGATCGACCCCAACACGGCGTTTAGTGTCATCCTTGGTAAAACCAATGTCAGAGTCCTTAAGCTTGCTGAGGCAGTTGTCATAAACTTGCACCGTGCAACGCTGTGCATCCAAAAACTACTGTTCGTTAGACCAATACTTCCTTGGAGCTCGTGATATGTCCCTAACTTGTAGCCAGCTTCGACTTGTGCTCGTAAGTCACTTTCCGATTTCCAAGCATTGATTTGTTGTCATGTTACCACTTGATAGGTTGCAAGTTCTCAAGTGAAGAGAGAGCACGAAATGGTACCATCATGCAGCAGGCCTTCTCATTGTTCTATTCAGACAGCCATATAGGCGCCGGATTCGCGATGTTAGATTCCCTCAACCTATAACAGTTACCTTGATATAGGATAAACACGCATGGTTAAGACGTTTAATACGATTCACGGATGGCCAAAAAGGTTTTTTATTTGCAAGGGTAATAAAGTTATGATATGTACGGCACTCAGTTGAACCGCTCGTTCCTGATATGGTCTGGTTCGGTCGCTAAAGCGTATTTAGTTTCATCGAGTGTTTTGTTGTCGAGCTGATTAGTACTGTATGTGAGTCCACAAAGTAAGCAGATTCCGCATAGCTTACAGGTAATCAGACAGGTGCACGTTCCATGTCTGTCTCCGAGCGCTACGCTATCACCCCACATCAGTAACGAATGAAAGGCATAGACACATTGGTGTGGCTGTGAAGTGAAATCATCGAAGCAAAGGAAGAGCGTAAAAACTGTCAGTAGCAAAGAAGGAGGAAACGGTAACAAATTCCACAGTGCGGCGCGCATCATACCTGGCGCTTCAAAGTAGCCACTTGATCTGCGTAACGAGCTTCAATGACCATGTCAGACAACTTCCGCGGATAATCGTTGACGTTGGAAGATACTATGGGACTAAGTTTGATCGTTGTACGTTTGGCTTCTTGTACAGGGCAGATGGTTTTGCAACGTGTGTAGTGATCCTGAAGCAGATAAAAGTGATACACATTGATGGATCGTGGATAGAACAATGGAAGGGCAATACTGGCGACAGCTGAATAATGTCATCAAGCAGAGCAACCGTGTTGAAACTAATAATCCCATTAATTCATGCTTGCATACCGAAAGTAAGCTCCAATAAGAAACCATAGAGCTCACATGATGACACCGCCACTAATGAGCACACAGTGACAGAGGTGATAGCATGCGACTCTTAATTGAAACAGAACCCATAAAGAAAGCAGTGATTGCGCCTCAGGTACACTTCATTAGCTATGGTATCACCCCTGTGTAAAGAGCCTGACGGACAGACCGTAACTTCCAGCCTTGAGCGTGCGTCCACAATGACGGCGCATTTCGTTTCCGTGTATGCAATACGACGTGTGTAGCCACCACCAAACTCGACAGCGTGGATTGGGGTGTAAAAGATGTACCCGACATCATCGCCAGTCTTGGCGGTGCAAAACCTACCGGGTTCCATCTTCTGACCATCAAGTCCCGATTGGCAACCATCTCACCTTCCGTGACTGGTCTGGTTATCAGCTCGCTCTTCGAGAGTGCATTGCTGAGCGATTGAAACGCTCGTTAATGAGACCGATTCCGATAGGTGATGATCCCTTTAAAGTAGACAATAACAGGCAATTTTGTTTGACACTTACCTTTGCCAAGGTAGCCGAGAAGGTCGTGAAGAAGGGTCTTCTGTAGCACCTGCAGTCGGAAGACCTTCTAAAGCAGGAACTGCACAGTTTCATGAAACGCCGCGCAAGCATGTCCGACTTGTTGGTGACGCAGCAGAAATGGTTGCAGGCACTAAACCGGGGAAAGTCGGTCGACGTGATCTACACTGAATTCAGTAAACCATTCAACAAGATGAACCATGAGATAATCCTCCACAAGCGGAGAGCGTGCGGTGTTGGTGGCTCATTGCACCAGTGGATCAGTGAGTTCCTTATTTGGGTGGAAGTGGAGGATACAGGTGGATAATCATTTAACTAACCGGTTTCTCTTCACCAGTGGGATACCCCAAGGGATTGTACTGGGGCCCATTTCGTTCCCAATATACAACAGGGAGATATCGGGGATCTTTCAATGGCCTTGTGTCTTGTTTGTAGACGACCTGAAGATCTGGAGAGGAGCAGCGAACTTCAGCATGACCTCGACCGCCTATCTAGATGGTTTGCACATGTTGACCTGCCAAACAACCTAGTCATGTTGTTGTTTATGAACCTGGGGAAAGGTGGTGATGGATATATGTACATAGTTGCATCCCACGCCTTCCGTGAAGGACCTCTGAGCACTCTCACGCTGCGAGTTGAGGCCTTTGGATAACAATAAGTAGCCATACGGAAACGGACTTCGCATGATTTGTGCGCTGGAACACAGCTTCTGCATTTGGTCAGAAGAGATTGCCACTCCCCTCTTCTACCACGAGACCTATTGTCGTGTATGGTTCATCTGGGTTTTGTCTGATCACTCATGACAAGGTGCAGAGACTGGAATATGTTCAGCTCATCCGCAATTTATGGGGTGTCATACGAAAACGAATGCAGGAGACTGGGGTAGTGCACTCTGTCGTATCGTGGGTTTGAAGCGGATCTCATAAAAACGCACTGGACATTGCATCTGAGTGATTTCCTTATACTGAAGCCGCTTCTGCACGGGCGCGCATCAAGCTGCTCATGCAGGCACCGTTGAAAGTTTGCGGTACCGGACGTGAAGTGGACAGGTCCTCCTTTAGGCTTCGCGTGGTGAAATAGTGTAACAGTTTGGATGATAAAAAAAAGTCGGAGCGAAATCGGTATAGGGATTCAACAAAACTTGGACGTCCGCTTAACGGATCAGAGATTTTGGGAACAAATCGCATCTGAATGGGGCGTCGCATAATCGAATCGTGTTGACAGTGCGTGGTAAAAAAATGACGGTATTCCGTGTGAGTGCCCGGTACTATGTACGCCGTGATGGCGCTTCGCTGCCACACGACCACCATCAGTCGTGCGTGGACTGAATATACCGCGAGGATGCTCACCCCTACGCGGATTCGAACCGTTGACCTTATGGTTGAAAACCAGGCGCGCAGACCACTCGGGCACCGGCCGACCCGGTACTATGTAGATGGAGCGACACATCTGTTATTCTTCCAGATGTATATCTGCAGTGTTAAGTATACAGGAAGCATGTATATATCAGACCTGAAAAACCGGGTAAAGTGACCTGTGAAATGGAAGCAGACCACACCGAGTAAAACCCCCGGATTTTGCTGAACAAGTTCACAATGAAGGTAATCGGAAAAGAGGCCAGCAAAGTATTAGTACTAACGGCATCGCATGCTGGCTCTATCGCATACGGTAGAGTCAGGACCTCAATCACTGATGTCACTTGTTCATTTCCAACCTAAGGAAGCGGAGCCTTAGCCTAAGTGCACTAGTGGTTGTGGTTACCGCGTTTCACAGAAGTCTAACGTACTGACGGAAATGAGGATTCGCGGGTGGAGTATGCAACTAAGGGATACATGAGGCGAACAGTGTTGATAGTGTCGGTGAGTACGGTGCGTAGGGCTATGCTTCATAAATGGATGACGCAAGTGATAGTGAACAGATTACTGTAAGGCAAGGGGCCAAATGGAGATAGGTGAATGGTGTGGACAGTTGGGCACCATAACAAGGGCGTCCAAAGTGAGTGGAACCGAAAAGCACATAGTGTCGTGTTGTAGAATCGGCGTCCAACATTATTGGATGGACGTGGAAACTATGACAAAGGAAAATGAGGATAAAAAACTTCCAATGAAGGAGTTCAAGTGCTGCTAACCTGGTAGCAAGTGAATACGCTCAAGATTACCGAGCTGATGCTGAAGTCTACCTGCGAATAGGTATATGCAACTGTGAAGTAATTCGTTAGGAAATTGTACAAAATCAGTAGGTATTGATACCTCATGAAAATAGAAGCCATGAAGTTAAGCGGCTGACCATCAGGCATAACACGTTTCAAAGACGATAGGTGAACGCATTCGTGGAAGTTTCTATACAATTAAGAGTGCTGGTTCGTCATACCAGTGCGGATTGGAGCTCAAGTTTCAGAACTAGCATAGAAACAACTACTGAAAATAGAAGGTAGGAGAATTGCAATTACCTGCCACACTGACTCGATTTCCACCAGACGAGAACGAAACTCCTCTAACCGAGTTAGAGCCTCTGCTTCACGAATTTTCGATCCGAACAACTCATCCTTCAGAGCAGCAATCTGATCGGACGATCTTGCGGCCAAATCACATTTAAGCTGATCATATGCAAAGAGAAATGAATAATGAAATGGAATTTAGGCTGGGAGTATGTTTCCTTAGGACGTAATCTGCTGGTTTGCTTTTCATGCACGAAATGTAACAAGAGCTAGAGAAAGAGATAAAATGGATCAAAGTGCAAAAAACTGAAAAGGGATGCTATATTTCATGTAAAATACCCATTTTTAGTTATCAGATTCGAGAAAAACGCATGCGGAACGCGTAAAGCAAACAATTGTTTTCGATCTCATCATCATCAGGCTTATTACAGAAATATACTGTTTTTTTAGATGCAGAGGCTTGGTCTTGTCAATCTTATGCTGACCTTGCTGCTAGCGGATGGTTCAAGTGGGATGGTATGTTGTATAGAAGTTCGAACGCATTACGCTTGTCAACATGGTGACCTGTACTGATCGGGTGGTTGGTTATGGCACTCAAATTAGTTCGATCTTTTCGGTTAACGAGCGAATTCGGTAGGTGTTGCTTGATTCGCTTTTTTAAGTGGCTGATCGTGCGTTCAATGTACCTAGCCCCACAGGAGTACGCGAACCGGTATATTGACAAAACCAAGCCTCTGCATCTAAAAGAAACTTGTTCACGCGTTACAACCCTCTTGGCCAACAGCCACAAGAGCAGAGGCAGACTTGGCCCAACATTTCGTGACCTCCATGACCTGAGTAGCCGACGTACATCATGAGAGTTGTTTCATTTTTTATCCAATCAATGATTCACTTTTGTACTGTTGTTCCTACGGAATTGATCCCCTTAAAGTGTATTTCCGTAATGAGCCTGATGATGAAGAGATCCAAAACAAATGTTTGCTTTACGCGTTCCGCATGCGTTCTTCTCCAATCTGGAATGTCATATCTCCAGGCACTTGAGACGGTGTGGCCAAAGTGATAATCTACCCGATGGGAACGGAAGTGGACAGCGTCGTCAAGCTGCGGTTCAAATCTTCCAAGCGAAGGACAACAGAACAATCAGGGCAGGGCTGTCAAGTATGGCATCCGCAGTAGGCCGGTACGTAGTATCGACTTTTGGACACGTACGGTGTATGTCCGTTCAGCGTCTTACGCGTTGTGCCTTATTCGCAATCGCATGACAGGGCTGAAGGAGGCGGTGTGGTGGACATCCTACAAGTTAGAGAAGCGGGATGAAAAAAGCTGACAAAACAGTTGACCTCGGTTGGTTTTTCTCGACTACCTGGATGGGGTCCCAAAGATGCGGAGTGCCGCTGGTTGGAAACTTTGAAGTCATGGCTCAAAACCAAATTCAGTGGCGGGTGTGTAGCCCTGCCTTTTGCGGTGATTTTCTTTTCTCCCTCAATAAAAAAACGTCCAAAAAAATCGCAAAAAAGCGAGTGGGAAAATGGACAAAATATTGTTTGTGTTTCTTTCTACATATACCTTAATCCTGTTTTCCTATTCTGTCATGGTTCCGACGACACTATCTGTACACCGATATATATATATATATATATATATATATATATATATATATATGCCGGGAGACCCTATGGTGCGCTGAGGCTAGTGGCGGCTAGATTCTGACAGATGGTCTACCCACTGCAGCTACTGTTGTGCCACTGGATCATGTCCTGGACGCCTCCCCGGGACGACCGCCGGGCAGGAGTTGGGTTACGCCGTTCTCTCTACTAAGATCCAGGACACCAATCCGCGTGAGTCGGTGAACTGACCATGTGCTAGACCCGCTGCCTTTCGGGTGTACATTTAATCGAAGGCTTTGGCTGAGGACCCGAGCCGTTCTCCTGTCAGGTATGGGTGCCCAGCCAGTATCCTAGTCCATCCTATTCGGAGGTTAGGAAGTGGTCGCTGGCCCTCTTCCCGTAAAACCTAGCCATGGGAGACAACAGGTCTACGGGTTATAAGCTCACAGCTCAATTGGTGTAGAGCAGGAGCGCCACGCATTGTCTCAGAAGGTGGAAGGGCACCTCCGGGTGCTCTATGGTTTGCTACTGTTCGATTCAAGCCAGGCAGCCTCTGGTCAAATTGGTGCAAACCCGCCAAAACCCACTTACGTCTGGCCGTCGTCGCAGGTACGTATCCAATTACCGTCGCAAAACATATATGAATCATTCCAGTACCCCAAAGACTGCGTGTGACGGCCATCAAGCAGATCCCTGCAATTCCCGAGCTGGATCTGTTCCACACTGCCCTGTGGGTCAGGCTATTGAGCCAAAGGTTCCGGGCGGAGTCCCTCAAGGAAACTTCCAAACAACCCACTAGCTTGTAGGTCAGGTTATTGAGCCAAAATTTCTGGGTGGAGTCCTTCAAGCAAACCTCCGAAGCACAATCACCAACTCGCGTGTGATTGCCCACCAAGGCAATCATATGCCTGCGCGCAAAGCACTCAGCATCAGGTGCTGGAACGTGCGCACACTACTGGACCGGAACTCGAGTGAGCGCCCCGAGCGACACACTGCACTGGTCGCGATGGAGCTGGCTCACTACCACATCGATATCACGGCACTCAGTGAGACTCGGCTCGCTGAGCAAGGGGAGTTGCATGAAGCAGGTGCTGACTACACATTCTACTGGGTGGGCAACGCCGCCTCAGCACCACGTGAACATGGGGTCGGATTTGCAATGTCCGATTGCCTCTATAGCCAGCTCGTGGGTGAACCAACAGGTATCAGCGTGCGACTGAGAACTGTTCGCCTACGACTCGGAAGAGGTAAGTTTGCCACCTTGATAAGCACGTATGGTCCGACCATGTGTTATCCTGATCGCACGCGCGATCAATTCTACACTGAGCTATCCTCCGTGATACGGTCTGAGCCGAGGAGCGACCGACTACTTCTGCTGGGTGATTTCAACGCGCGCGTTGGGCGTGATGCGTCGGTGTGGACAGATGTTATCGGTTCGCATGGCATTGGTTCAGCGGATGCGAACGATGGCAAGCTGCTCTCACTGTGTGCCACTCACGGCCTGACGATCACGAACACTCGGTTTGCACTGAGTGCGAGTGATATAGCAACCTAGGCGTACCCACGGAGCGGACACGCTCACCTGCTCAATTATGTCATCGTACGTCAGCGTGATATGCGTGAAGTGCGCATGGCACGTGTAATGCGTGGAGCTGAGTATGACACTGATCATAAATTGGTGCGGACCAAACTGTACATATATTTTTGTAAATCTATGAGGAAGGCGGAGGAGGATCAACTAATTAGCATGTTTCAGCGAAATTCGTACCCTAGAAGCTTTATTCTACGCTGCCTGAAGTCGAAGAGCCAATCACAACCTGCGTCCACATGTGCAACAGAAAGAAGAACGATTATCCTACCTTACATCCATGGGGTTTCGGAAATGGTAGCGAGGCTTCCAATGCCTCACGGGATAACTGTTGCACATGAAGCAACGGAAACCATTCGAAGTAAACTCTTTAAGGTAAAGGACAAACTGTCTAAGAAAGAAACATCAGGTGTAGTTTACAAAATTTCCTGCAAGAAAGGTGACAAGTACTATGTAGGCCAGACTGGAAGAAAACTTGGCACAAAACTGCACGAAGATAGACTGGCCACCCGCCGCCAAGATGAGAAATCCTTAATGTCAGTACACATGGATGCGGAAGACCAACAGTTCGATCTGGAGAACGTTGAAATACTTGGAAGAGCAAGAAACCGCAGAGCGCGTGAGTTTCTCGAGGCCTGGTATTCTGGCCGGAACTCAATCAACAAACAGGCGGAGCTGGAGGGTGTCTACAAAGCTCTGCAGGTTAAGCCAGCAATAGGCACCAGATCGACAAGGAGAAGAGGTGCCCACTAGACCGACTCATGGGAACCGATCAAAGGCTGACATTCGAACCAGGTAGCAATGAATAGTCATTCGGATTTGGCATTGGTTTGCGAGAATCTGCGAATCGGGACTGAATAGCCGCACTTAAGATGTTGTCTAGTTTGGCAGCGAAATGTCTGCAACAGAAATGCCCGGCTCGGCGCTGCCCGGCTTGCGCTGCACCATCCACAGCTCCAACCACACACCCCATATCCAGTGTAAACCCGAAGGAATAAGACCGGGAGGCATGCGGATGGGAGCCACGTTTCATCAACGGAGCCGGCCCACACTCCTTCACAGGCAAACACAAGCACACTGTATTTGGGGAATCAAGCGCACACAAAGCGGTGGCTGGACCGTAGTCCGCTCCACACCGAGTGCATGGAACCACTCTTCGAGCCTAACACGGCCACAAGGACCGTGCACCCCGTCCCCTCCAGCAACGACCAACTGTCTCCTGGAGCCAGTATGGACGAGGTAGTGGGTAATAGACAGGTAGGCACCTTGTCAACATGCACATCAAGCGCAGCCACACCGGGGATATCAAACAACAGCCAATCACTTGAGAGAGAGACAGAGAAAGAAAAAGAGAAAAACCCCGATTAATGCATAAGGAAACGGTGACATAAACCTTAATTAAATAGCATACGTAATAAGTTGTTTACAAACAAATCCTAGCTAAGTGCACGAGGTCAGGAAGTATAGTTCACGGTATGCCACGAACACAAAAATGTTATGGAAATCGAATACAATTGGCTGAAGCGATGTGTGCAAGTTAATGGAATAGAGTACAGGGAGATATTTATATGAGAAAGAAAAGCATTAAGGTAAAAACTAAACCCACCACCTGAAATAAAGAGACTTAGCATGCAAGCACGCGGTTAGTAAATCGAATTCAGCGTGCCTTCAAACGCTGCGCCGGCTCGTCGTAATTCTCTGCAGGACCCGTCGTCGCTTCTGTAGTGGCCCCAAATGACACAGCGCATGGCGTGGCCCACTAGACATTTATATGAGAAAGAAAGGAATTAAGAGAGAACCGAAAACCCACCACCTGAAATAAAGAGACTTGGCATGCAAGCATGCAGTTAGTAAATCGAATTCAGCGTGCCTACAAACGCTGCGCCGGTTCTGCCTACGTTCACTGCGGGACCCGTCGTCGCTTCGGCAGTGGTCCCGAGTGACCTCTCTCATGGCTCACTAGGCCT